ACTGTTCTTTTTCGGGGTCAATCTTCTCCTGTTGCTCCTGTGACCTCTGGGGTCCCCAAGGGGTCAGTCCTCTGGCCTATTCTTTTTAATTTATTTATCTGTGACCTTCCTGATACTATCCAATCTTCTATCCCTCTTTACGCCGATGACACTCTTCTTTATCGTGCTATTTTCTCTTCTAATGATGAAGCCATCCTCCAGAGTGATCTCGACCATGTTTGTAGGTGGAGCGAGGGGTGTGGAATGTCCCTCAACCCGAACAAATGTAGAGTAATGCGAATCACTCGATCAACTAGTCGAGCACAATCTCCAGAAAGTTATCACATCAATGAGGCTTGCCTTAATTCAGCTCACTTCTACTCACAAGTACCTTGGTGTTAACATTGCATCTAATTTATCATGGGGTGCTCACGTTAATGATGTCACTTCCAAGGGTCTGAAACTTCTTGGCTTTATTAAGCGAACTTTGAAATACAATCACTCCAAAGCCTTTATCAAATTATATAATTCCCTCGTGAGACCAATTTTAGAGTATGGAGTACCGAGTTGGTATCCATTTCAAGCTGGACATTTGAAATCTATTGAAAAGGTTCAGAGAAAAGCAACTCGTATGAACATCCCAAATGAACTCAGATCTGTGTTAAGCTATGAGGAGAGATTAGTTAAATTTAACTTGATCTCTATGAAGGCTAGATACGATTTCATTCTTGTAGCTTTTGTTTGTAAATGCCTTTATCATGTGTATGATCTAAACTGTTTGGAATTTGTTAAGATCAACACAAGACACTCCGATGAACTTGCTTTCCAGGCATGCCTTTGCCCGGACCAATGCATTGAAGTTTCCAACTTTTAATTATTTTCCCATTCTTTGTAACTTATTTCTCAGAAAGCTAAAAGAACATTTTTACAACTGAGAGAATCTCAGATATGCCTATGCCCAAGTCAAGCTAAAAGTGAACTCTAATTACTTAATTTTCTCTTTTTGGTGTTTGTTGGTTTTGAAGTGGGGGCAGGGTTTGGGGGTGGGTGTTTTCCTATTTCTGATCAAATTTTTTGTGTACTTTCTTATTTGTTTGTGTGATTGTTTAATATTTATAATAATTATTATGCTGGTAATTGTAATTAAAATTATTGTTATTATTATTGTTGTTATAATAATAATAATAATAATAATAGTAATAGTAATAATAAAAATAACAGTAATAATATAAGTAATGAACATATTTTAATTGTTAATTATTTTTGTATTTTCACACTTATATATATTTATATATTTTTATAATGTACTTATACTGCTAGTCCATGTTTCCCCCATTGCTTGGAGAGCCACTCAGACAGTAATTTATTTTACTTTTTGGTAATCCTGCCGGCTCTTGGGGGAAACATGGATTACCTTTTCGAATTTTCTGAATATTTTACTGTATTGTTATGATAAAAAAAAAGGCGAAATAAATGAAATGAAAAAATGAAATCTTCCATTAGTTTTAACCAATTAACTCTATCAAAGGCCTTTTAGAAATCTATAAAGCATACATACACATCTTGTTGAAATTCAATACAATGCTCACTTAAGACATGCATTACTCCCATTGCATTTCTAGTTCCACAACCCTATTCAAATCCAAAACTGATCTATTCTAATCCATTCGTTTGCCCTCTTCTCCATTTGTGTGGTAAGTACCCTAAGCGGTATGTTAGCTGATGGTACAATGATCCTTGTATCAAGTTGCATTTTTCTTTTTCTCCAGTGGCAACAGAATACTCTTAGATATGTCCTCTGGCCAGAGAGGATATTTATATTAGTAATCGTAATTAAATATCACACTTTCCTATTTTGTAATGTAGTATTAGTTAAACTACAGTAAATATAATGCTCAACCAAATAATGATATCCATATAACATTATTATTTCATTAGATACAAAATTACGATAACATTATCTATGAATGATTTAGATGGCATGGTCATTTACTTACTTTGACATGTTCATCTGTGTAATGAAGGAATGGTGGCTCAACATCTGTAATCTGTATGCATTGTGCAGTGTTGCCAGGCAACCAATACAAGCTTTTACATTCTTTAAATCTGGTACATCTGTTAAAAAATAATAAGGGAAACTAGTGCAAGATAACCTAAAATTATAACTATACTACTTTAGCATTATTAAGGTTGCTCCAATATAAATGACTACAGTGAAAATTAAACAAGCTACTAATATTACAAGTCTTTAAATCAACACTTTGGACAAACATAAACAATGGTACAATTAATACCATTGCACTGCCTAAAAACAATTTGATAAAGCAGTCGATTTTCATGGATTAAAATTCATTTGATTTCTTTTGATGTAGTTATGTGGTATTGATGTTGCACCAAGTGGTTTTGTGTTTTGTAGTATGATGTATGCACAACAAGAGACACCCCTGTGTTCCTTCGCCAATATTGATTCAGATCCAGATTAATGATGTATATAACAGAATTGTATACAGTATATATTTAATGTAACTCACATTTTCTTCAGTGTACACCAACCACAATATGGGTCTCCATCTTGGTCTCCAGTTGGTCTGATGCACTCATCACATGTGGTAAACTGACTACAGTTAGCTACTGGTAGCTTAAGCAACTAAAAACAGATTATTAAACAACACTGTAACTTCTAGATTGATGGAAATTATCTACTGAACATAATAAATATTTGAATTAAATCACAGATGTATTGCATTTCATATAAAGAGTGATGAAAATTATATTAACAAAAATAAGCATGTCACTACCAGTAAAATAGTAAAACACCTATAATCTTGACCAATTAAAAAAAATACTAATCCATCTTCAATGATGTTTTGCATCAGGAAATTTAAATAGGGATGATGATGTTTTTTAAGTCCTACCCTAATTAAGATTTTTTTCTCAATTATTTGGAAGCTTACGATAACATGTTACAGTAAGGCAAAACGGCATCACTTCCATACTATTATCCACTAAAACATTGAACAGTACAAAACGCATTAATATCAATACAAACTTTTCAAATGTGATTATAATGTGAAAAAAACTACTCAGATAAATAATGTTAAATTTTAGCTCACCATCTTTTCTGTAAGCACCATCAATTGATTGGAAGTTTTGTCTAAAAATGTATCTGACCTGACCTCTTGACCTGCATCTAATGTAATATTTTCATACACTCTGGCTAAAGTGTTGCTGATAATGTTAACCTGATATTCAATTAAAAAAAAAAACAATTTTATTACATACATTTATACTTTTTTAAATTAACAAAAAGGATCAAATTTACATTGGCCTGGAGCTAGTGAGAGGTAATTCCTGTACATCAAACATTTTACAACAACTTTACATGAACAACAATGATTTACAATATACCTATTCAGTGTTCTCCCTAGCGTCTGATCATGGGCAAGCGTCATGGTAAGTGTCAAGTCCACAATAGTTAAGACTGACAAAAGGTATTTTTAATAATTAGGAGGCAATGAAATGTCCTAAATTACACTTTTAAGACTATATAAAGACAAGAAACCGTGTTAAATAATTTAACTCATGTTCCCTGATAAAAGCATCATGGAAGATGTTCCAAGCATCATGGCCAACTGTCAAGCATCATGGTGAAAGTCCCAAGCATCATGGTACCATGACGCTTCAAGGGCCTGGGAAGAACACTGCTATTTAATGTAAAATATCTATTGACAGTAACAAAATCATATCAAACTGGTACTGAATAATGATATGATAGGTAAATACATTGCAGAATGTTAATTTTTTTAGCTACATATCCTTGATTTGATTTAATTCGATTTCATTTACTTTCAAAGTAACAATAAAAATGACAAAAACAACAAAGGCAAGAAAATAACAACTCAATCGGCCACACAGGATTGCCAGAAAGTGAACCAAATCACTGTCGAATTGCACTGTAATGGCAAAGGAAAACACTAAATAAAAGGCTAAACAGTCAATTAAAAACGTCATCAGAAAATACATAGAGATGATAATAATATTATTATTATCTCTTTAGGTATGATAAAAAAAATATTTTATTGTTTTCATAAAATTTAAAAATTCTGTTAAAAGACTTAATTTCCAGCAAGAGTTCATCTGATAATGTTTAACATGGTACAGTATTATTAAAAACATATTGTTCACTTATTTTGGACTGTACCAAAAATCATGTATCCACAGGTTGATGGACAGAGTACTACCACAGCTCTTAAATGACATACAGTATTTAAATTTTGTTAAATCCCTCATTATTTATTAGAAGCATGATGCTATTTCATGCATCGTATTAGGTCTACTCTTCAGTACTCACCTTCATCAGTTGTCCATCGTCTGTGCCTAGGAATGCTGTTGTGTGGTTTTCTTCAACTGTAGCTATGACTGATGTCAGGATTGTGTCATTGACTGTTAGCACAGCCTGTGACACTGCTGCTTGTGCGTAGATACCTTGTGAATATTTTCTCAAGGGGTCTCTATCACCAGGACACATGTAGGATATCACATCAGCAGCACTGAGACTCAACATCTTAATGATGAAAATGTATTGAAAAAAGATATGTCATGAAATTATTTTGTAGTTCTACAGTTTATTAGTTACCGACAGTGTATTGCAAGTCTTAATAAAATAGGTTTCACAAGACATATCATAAATGAAATATTTGAGCTTGTAGCAACTCTATTGCTTTAATAAGAAAAATAAAACTAAATATAATTTCATACATTTGATGAACAAGTAGCACTGGCAGCATAATTTAGTCTTTGATCAGCACGAGCCGTATCAGAACCAGTTAGACAAACATTCAAAACTTTGAAAAACGCATCCTCAATATCATCCAACTTGTAAATACACAATGCAGACTGTTCAGTCGGATTTCCACTACCATCGTCCTTCACAAACACTCCGTAGAGGACATCGTCTCCAGCCAGGAGGCCAAGTGAAGCAGCCAGGTTTGACCCTACTGGGCCTACTGACATAGACTGAACTAAGTTGAAGTCAATGTCACCAGAAACACAACGAAGAACGACTTCAGAGAGTGTGTCAAATGAGTTGCTATGACAAACACGACTCAACCTCGAAAAAAATATATCTTTATCAAAACCAGCAAATCCAGGAGATTCCAGACCATCATTCTGTCTGAATGCAGCGAAATATGTATATTCCTTAAATGAAAATGCTGCTCTGAAATTAATGATTCTGTTGTTAGCTTTGAATATATCGGATGGTTGAACAGCATCTACTATCTGCGCAAATTGTGATGTGCTTTCCAAATATGTTCTTGCATTAGCATACATTGGAAAATATACACCATCTGATGAAGTATGACTGGATGACAAATACAACACGTTTTCAATTTTGTCACCAATTAAACCAGGAGCAATGAGTCCAACAGCACTAAAAATTCCCTCTAAAAAATTGCTTCCATCCAAAGATAAATCCATCAGGAACCGTGCTTCACATCTTCCATTGTTTCCTGCTCCACAAGTAATCAACCTATCGTGATCATAATCAATGACTAATACCGTATTTTGGTTGCCACAATCATCGTCATCTGGCAAACAAGTTGAAGTTGTTGCAATGATGTTGAAATCTGCTGACAGTCTGTACAATGCATTGTGGGCTCCTATGTAGATATCACCTGTTGTGTTATGGACTGTCACATGATACAAAACTTCATTATTGCTGGGTTCAAATCCATGTATTTGATAGGTTGACAACTTTTTACAATTTAAAAAAACTACTATAAAGCACAGCAGTAGCAACTTCATCAAAGAAATCATTATTTTTATTTGTGGTGTCTCTATAGAAAAGAAACATAATGGTAAATATTATAAATTCTAAAATATGTTTATGCCAAAAATTGTAGTTTCAGTTACAGTAATTTCATATTCATATTTATTAGTCTGTATTGCCTTGTACTGTATGCAATATCCATGTATTACCACAAAAAATTAACTCATATTATTGGTAACCATTTACACTTAATGTTGATTCTTGCATAGTACTGTACAAAAAATAGATATGGATAACCAGTAAGAGGTGACCATTATACCTAGCAAAAACTTCTTTTTAAACATAAAAGCATATAATTAACAATCACTGACCACAATGGTTTTTTCATGATAGTCTTTTCTTTCCAATGAATAGGTAATGTGGCTACATATTGTTTGGAATTTGTTGCTGTTGTTAGCAATGTGAAGTGAAACAATCATCTTGAAAATTGAGTAGGAATTCCCTTGGAATCCCAAACCAAGAGGGAAAGAAAAAAAAAAGATATGCAATTCCTTTCCCAATAAGATATTCAATAGTGCCATTAAACCAATTACTTTCCAACTAATCCAAACTGTGCTTCACTCATAATACCTATGAACTTTAAAAGGAAAATTTATTATCAACAATACAAAAAAAAAGGGAAAAAAAGGTAGGTCTAGGCTAGGCCTACATTGTACTTAATTTTTAAAAATATAATGTTTTTATCCCGATTCAAATCAATATTCAGCCACATGTTCTTTAGGGTGTTAAAAGCAGGCAAATCTTATTATCAATCAACACACCTGAATATAGCGATATAATAATTGTAGGTACAGGGGTAGGGCCTAGATGTGAATAGAGCTAATCTAATGTACTTGCGCAAATCAGCGCCCCATTTTAATAAGCGCTTCTCTCGAATAAGCGTCCCTCCTAATGTGAAAATGTCCCTCTTAATTTGAATAAGCACCCCTTGATGTTTATTCATTGGCCTATTTTAAACAATATGTGATTTTTTTTATCTTAGCAAGCCAATAATCCAATCAATCCCGGGACTGTGGTTGGCATGATTAGAGCTGTGGAGTGGTTTCTTCTTATCAATTTGAAAAAGAAAATATTTTCTCCTGGACAGATACTGTAGATGAGAGCTCCCTGGACAGTATTTTCCAACTGTCCCCTTTAACATTTGTCTAGTCCTACTTCTCTTTTTCTTTTTCCTGACAATTTGCACCTTAACCCTTTGAACCCTAGCCATAATAGCCTTCGGCACCCCCACCCTGGCTGCGACACAGCAACTTTGCAAATTGAACAAATTACAGAGCTGTCTCTCTCCAATTAAAGACAACTTTTGAGACGGGTGTTTCGGTGGTCTTTAGCAGCTTTGGTTTCTATTAGAATAATAAAGATAAAAGAAATTACCTAAGCTGGGACTACAGAATAGTGGTTTTTAATAGGAGGTGGTACTGAATTGGAGGGGTCTTTCATTGTAGGGAAACCAGTATCATATACAGTAACACTAACACTGCTACTACTCTATAACAAGCCCTGTTTGTCTCATTTCATTCTCATGTTGTCACAGTTCAGCATCAAGTGACAGGTATTTAATAAGTCAGCAGATCAAACAATAATAATATGACGTCAACACCAAAGCACATGACCTCGAGTATTGTAGTATTGCAGTTTAGCTCAGTTGGCTAATCTTGGTGGTAGCCACTGTGTGTGCGCTGAACCGTGGAGATCTTTAGGTCCCCGGTTCAATTCCTATCACTGCCTCTCTGTGTTTCAGCTGGAGGGCTAAAATACAAGTTACAATAGCGCACGGCTGATGGTCAACAAGCTTATACACTACCACCACCACCACTATTTTTATCTGCTGTTGAAACACACAGCATTCTTGTCATGAGGCATGTTCTCTATCTTTTCTGCACCAGAACCATTCGTAACCTTTAGTTTCCAGATGTTCTTATAATTATATAATCTTTTTTCATTCAGAAGGCACCCGTTACATTTTGCAAGTTCCCATAAGATCCCCTAAATTTCATATCTTTCCATAAACTGCCCCCCTCAATTTCCACTCAGTGTTTTCATAAGACGAGAACTTTTTTATTCCTTGTTTTGAGCATTTATTGTTTTTTTATAAAAATTTTATCTTCTTTATATTTAGCAAATAGTTTTGCCAAGCACATCCAGACGGAGGGGAAAATAAAAATAAAATTTTATTGATGAATGTGAACAGTGTAGTAATGGATGGGTAGGCCTAGGCCTAGGTTATGCCTATGCTTCAAATTTATATTTTAGGAGGAAATATATCTTACAGGCAGCTGAGCTGATTTTAAGGCAGCTGAGGACGTAATAAAAATTTAAAAACTTTAACGCTTTTCTGAAATTTACTTATTTTCATGGCAGGCAGCGGGTTCACTAACTGGCAAAAAATAAAATTGTATTCTTATTCAAAATCATTCAGTTTCAGTTTATTTATTTGACCAAAAGATGGTCGGGGGCAGCTTAAGCAAACAAATCACTATAACTTTTTCAAGCCAGCTGCCCCCTCCCTAATAAAATATACAATATGATAAAGATAACAATTTAAATCACAAAAGACATAAAAAACATCAAGAAGGAATATAAAAAAAAAACTAAGTATGTATAAATAAAAAAAATAAAAATAAAACACCCAAGAGAAATGACAATTTAAACATTAAAATTACATTGAGAAAAAATAATTACATTGTGTGAAAAAAAGTATGAAGCGCATTTAAAAAGGATCTAAGTGACTCGCAGGTCAAGACATCTTTAAGGCTATCAGGCAATTTTGACCAGATTTGGGGGAAAAGTACTGTAACAGAATTATGATGAACAACAGTATGAGAATACAAATGATTAAATGTAAGGGTAGTTAGATGTCTAGTATTGACTGATAGATATTCTTTTATTATTGAACAGTCAATATGACCAAAAAGGCATTTACAAACAAAAGAAATTAAAATCAGTTCCCGACGGAACAATCAATCAATCAAAAAAAAAAAACAAAAAAAAAGTTCAATCTGATATCATATGGGATTTCACCTCTACCAACTCTCATGATTCTACGTGTGGCATATTTTTGGCAATATTTGTGGGCAGCTTGTTCGTTAAACAAGGTATAAAAAAAGTGTCGCCTAACTAAAGCGCCCCTCAAAATGTACAAACCCGGGCGCTTATAAGCGCGAGTACGATAGTCTCTAGCACAGGGCTGGGGGCTGTCTGGACGTGCAGGTACAGTAGGCGTAGGCCTAGTTGTTACAGATTGGCGTAGGTCTAGGCCCTACCTACTACTACTAGGCCTAGTAGTAGTACTAGAGACCTAGCTAGCTAGAGAGGCTAAACGGCAGAGTCTAGCAACTAGCTCCCTATTTTAACAACTGGAAGCTGGCCTAGGCCTAGACCTAGGCGTTTCGTTTACCAAAATTAGTAATTAGTATCAGTTATTAAAATATTACTTACACTTGATGATCCGCATGCCCTTATTAAACATACTGTACTGACCTTCCGTATTCTATTTAGTCAAGGCCTATGCCCTAGGCACTTATGGTAATCGCAAAGATACTGTACTAGCATTTCTAGCACAGATCGTATAAGATAGGTAACTCCCATGGTAGTGGCTATCGGCACTGCCGCAGTGCCAAAAAAAGCTGCTGTTTTCTATCGGCACTGCCGCAGTGCCAAAAAGCTTCCCGTTTTCTATCGGCACTGCCGCATGCCAAAAAGTTGCTGTTTTCTATCAGCACTGTCACAATGCGAAAAGCTGCTGTTAATTAATCGAATCGATGTTTTTATCGATAGATGACATTGGTGTAATTCATAATTCATAAATTTATTTCACTCAAAACGTAATGAGACTGGTTAGGCAAAAACATGTCCCTGTACAAGATGCCTACCAGAGAAACAATGATAATGTTAATGGCAAAGACATAATAATAACAATAATAATAATAACAATAATAATAATAATAATAATAATAATAATAATAATAATAAATAATAATAATAATAATAATAATAATAATAATAATAATAATAATAAATAATAATAAAAAGTAAATGATAATAATAATAATAATGAATGAAGATCAAAATATATCATTGTTCAAAGTGAATTCAGTTATTTATTAAAACAAGATTTGGAGGGCTGGACTGTCATGAAGGTGTTGTATTAATGATGTTCTAAATATTTGCCTTTATTATATCAATAATTGATTAGGTCTAGCTTAGCCTATATTATTGTTAATATTATATTATATTTATTTAACAATTACTTTATATTATTTATAATTAAATTATTAAATGTATACAATATATATTATTTTGGCCTAGGCATATATATAAAACAAAAAATAAACAAACAATAATAATAATAATAATAATAATAATAATGATTTTACGATAGTTTAATTAATGAAATAGTAATAATCAGCATATTAAATAAAATTACGTCCATGCAAAACCTGCTTTTAAATAAAAACATTATCTATTTGATTCTGTTAAAAAAATAATCTTATAAATTATAAGTTTATTTTCTGCGATAATTT